TTGCCTGAGTTGTTAATTTTAGCCATTCTGACAGGTGTGTGGGGTGATATCTCATTGTGGTTTTGATTTGTATTTCCCTGATGATGAGTGACACTGAGCATTTTTTCATGTGCCTATTGGCCATCTGGATGTCTTCTTTGGAGAAGTGTCTATTCATGTCTTTTGCCCATGTCTTCACTGGATTATTTGTTTTTTGGGTGTTGATTTGATAAGTTCTTTGTATTGGATACTAACCCTTTATCTGATATCTCATTTGCAAATGTCTTCTCCCATTCCGTTGATTGCCTTTCAGTTTTGTTGACTGTTTCCTTCACTGTACAGAAGGGTTTTATCTTGATAAGGTCCTAATAGTTCACTTTTGCTTTTGTTTCCCTTGCCCTTGGAAACATGTCAAGTAAGAAGTTGCTGTGCTTGAGGTCAAAGATGTTGTTACCTGTTATCTCCTCTAGGGTTTTGGTGGCTTCCTATCTTACATTTAGGTCTTTCATTCATTTTGAGTTCACTTTTGTGTAAGACAGTGGTCCAGATTCATTCTTCTGCATGTTGCTGTTCAGTTTTCCCAACACCATTTGTGGAAGAGACTGTCTTTTTTTCCATTGATTATTCTTTCCTGCTTTGTCAAAGATTAGTTGACCATACATTTGTGGCTCAATTTCTGGGTTCTCTATTCTGTTCCATTGATCTGTATGCTTGTTTTTGTGCCAGTACCATACTGTCTTGATGATTACAACTTTGTAATACAGCTTGAAGTCCAGAATTGGGATGCCTCCAGCTTTGGTTTTCTTTTTCAGGATTGCTTTGGGTATTCTGCTGGGTATCTTGTAAGCACCATATGGATGGGTCTTTTTTTCTTATCCATTCTGATACCCTATGTCTTTTGATTGGAATATTTAGTCCATTGACATTTAGAATGAGTACTGAAAGATATGAATTCAGTGCTATTGTGTTGCCTGTAGAGTTGGTGTTTCTGGTGATGTTCTCTGGTCCTTTCTAGTCTTTGTTGCTTTTGGTCTTTTTGTTTTGTTTTTTTTCTCCACTCAAAGAGTCTTCCTTAAAATTTCTTGCAAGGCTGGGTTAGTGGTCACAAACTCCTTTAGGTTTTTTTTTTTCTTGTATATTATGGATATGAGTCCTTTGTCAGATATATGTACTGGAACTCTATTTTCCTAATATATCACTTGCCTTTCATTATTTAATGGAAACTTTGATGAGCAAAAGTCTTCAAGTTTGATAAAAACATTTCATTTTAAAATTTTCTTAGAGCTCTATGCATTATATTAAAGTGTTAAAATATTTGCCTATACCAAAGTCATGAAGATTTATTGTTTTCTTTTAGGAACATTATAGTTTTAGCTTCCACGTTTATTTCTCTGATCCATCTTCTTTTTTTTTTCTTTTTTTTTTTTCCAAATAGTGCAAGGCAGGGGTAAAAGTTCATTCACCTTCCCTCCCCTCCCCCTACATGGATATCCATTTACTCCAGTGCCATTTATTATGTATTTTTTAAATTTATAATTGAGGTACTATATGTATTTTTCTTATTACCATATCATTATCCTAAGCTGTTGATTCTACTGCCTGAGGAATATGCAAGTTTAGAGACAGTCCACTATATGTCACTTGCATTCCTACACATCTTGCAGGGTGTAACAAGACTGCAAAGCCCTGATCACTCCTTACCTGCATGATTTCAGGGTTCTGATTGCAAGTGACCTTGAAAGATGAGATAATGTTTCCCTCTGGAACAAAGAGCAGACTTTCTTATTGCATTTTATCAAGTCAGTGGTGCTTCTCAGCTCTGATGCAAAGCTCTGTGTACACAGCATCCATCTGGGCCATAGCATGTCACTTCCATAGGACTTCTGGGTAAGGATATCTCATGCAAACCTGCTGATGCTCATGTTACTTGCCGTGCTATGAGTATTCAAATCTGCTGTTTCTGACCCAGGAATCTCAGGCCTTCTACCAGAATCTTTGAAACAGTAACAGACCAACTTACTATCTTGTAAGAAGGATAAAATCATGGAGAGCTGAATATGTTATCTTAATCACCAAAGCACGCTATTAAGTTGCCATATTCATCACCATTTCTTAGATTAAAACACCCAGACCACAAGAGACCAAAGAACTTGCCCAGTTTTATTTAATTCCACAGTCAAAACTCATTTTTAACGTTTAAACATTGTGAAATGTAGCATAAATATAAAACATGCCTAAAATATAGACAGAATTTAAGGACTACTTACATAATGAACACCCATGTAACCACAACTTAAGTCAAGAACTGGAACATTGCTGCCAGGCCAGAATCCCTGTATGGGTCTCTTAAAACTTGTATCCCTCTTTTCGTCGCCTGTGGGGGCTAGATAGCCCTTATCTTGATTTTCATAATACTTGTTGTGTTTTCTTTATGGCTAACACATATACTTCTATTAACAATATGGCTTGCGTTTGAACTATATATAAATGATATGTATAGTCTATGATTTATTTTGTATAATGCTTCTTAAAATCAACATTTCTAAGATTTATAATTGTTGCTTATAGCTCCCCTTTGTCCATGTTCACTGTGGCATAGTGTGCAATACTAATATACATGCTGTTTCTTTATCCTGCTGTTTCTGGGCATGTGAATTGTCTGTAATTTTGAGTTATTACCAAAAAAACTGTTTCTAAGAGAATTCTTATATCGGTTTTTGTGTGTGTGTGTGAGCTTATGCATTCATTTCTCTTCCATATATAAATAGGAGTGGATTTTCTAGGGCATTGGGGAGGATATGTTTTTCTTTATTGGAAAATGCCATAGAGTCTCTAAAGTGATTCCACCATTTTACGCTCACAACAGCAGTGTATGAAAGTTCCAGATGCTCCACATGCTCATCATGGTTTGATACTGAGAATGTTTTTAATGTTAGCCATTATGTTTTTTACGTAGTGGTGTTTCACTCTGGGTTTAGTGTCCATTCCTCTCATGACAACTGAGATTGAGAATATGTTACATATGATTAGTCGACACTTGGATATCTTCCTTTGTGCAGTGTCTGTACAAGTTATTTGCCCAACTTTTAATTAGTTAGTTTTCATTTTTCCTATTGATTTGTAAGTATATCAAAGATATTTATTTGTTTTCTGTTAAAGGACCTGACCTATAAATTTATCTCGTAATTTCTTGCTCCCTTTCTATTGGCCAGAACTATCACATGGACACAGATAACTTGAAGACAATATGGGAAGAGTATTCTAACATGGGTGGCAGTGTGCTTAGCCAAAACTTAACTATAGAAGTGGGAGAAAACACAGATAATTGTGGAGGATAGTTAGCCACTTTTGCTTTACTAGGGCTGGCCTAAAAATTTGATTCTTCATTTGCTCTATATGTGACGCACATGGAACTTTGCAGAACTAGGTATAGAAACATCCAAAGCATCAAAAATTATTATTATAATTCTGCTTGGTTCAAAGAGAGTGTTGAATGGAAATAAATGAGTTTCTTAAGATAATTCGTTCCATGCATCAGCTCTGCCTACAATACCAGACCAAGTTATACTTCTATAATTTACATGCACCTAAGCTCTGGCATAGTTTGATGGTGGTCTGGGGTATTTGGCATGACACACACAAGTATTCTAAGGCCTAAAATTATATACCAAGGCCACATTAGTTAGAATCAACTACACAACCATAAAAACTATTTACATGGACATATAAACCATCACAAAATGACAGCATTAAAAAGTCACACAGGAAGTTTCCGGGTGGCTCAGTCGGTTGAGCATCAGTTCATGGGTTTGAGCCCCACATCGGGCTCTGTGCTGACAGCTCAGAGCCTGGAGACTGCTTCAGCAAAAATAAATAAACATGAAAAAAATTTTTTTAAAGCCACATGATCTGCTTCCATCTGTACATGCAACACTGCTAGCCAGATCCCACTCCTTGATTCCTTGACTAGTGCTCCTGAAGTTGGGAATTGACTCAAGTGAGACTCATTAGTTGGATCAATGGAAATCACAAAGTCTGCCTTTTTCTGGTAGATGGTTGAAGAATGTGGCCTAGGTATGTAGCAACAATAGTTTCTGAACACTGAGTCCTGAATCAGAAAGATTTGACCAGCAGGCAGCGCTGGATGATCACAGGCCTCCTGTTGTAGTGGCAGTGCCTTTTCTACCCAACTTACAACAGGACGCAGAGCAGAGCAGAGTGCATGCTCTGTGCAGGAGAACAGATTCCAAAGAGGAAAGAGGATACAGCTGACTCACAGATCACCACACATTAACCATTCTTGTAAGATATTCCTCTTTTCATGAGAATCAGTGAGTAAAGAAAACATCAGAAATGACTTTGCCTATTCACTTCCAAATACACTCTTTGCAGTAGATAATAAAGTAAAAATGATGTAGAATGCTGAGTATAAATTGCTGAACAGCAATGTATGAAATGAATGCAAACACAAATGAATCAAGATGATAATTTTAATATATAAAGCAGAACTAAAGGCAAAGAGATGTACCTCTGACAGGGGAATTTCATTCTGCTAAAGTGTTCTGTTCAAAATAATATAGAGTTAAAACTGTTAATTACTAAATAGCACATATTGCAATCTGTAAAATAAAACGGATTTATTTTGTGATTTGTTTTTGATAAAAAAGATTTCAATATAAGGTCAGTTGCCAAGAATACGATAATATGAGATATCAGTCTGTATCAATGAATCAACTAAATATGTAAAATAGAGGACTTTAAATGATGTCAAAGGATGATGTAATAAATTCTCAACAAAGTACACACCATCTTTTCACTATCCACAGAATAGTTATAACTTTTTAAATTACATCATAAAAAAATCCACAAATTTTCAACTATAAATAGCATAAGCCACATTATTTAGTAAATTAATGGTGTGAAATTAGGAACTGACATAAATGTTTTCACAATAACAGTAATAACACTTTAGCCATTTGGAATTTTTACAAAGAAAAACATTCTACAAAAGAATACCTGGGTCAAAAATGATACAAGATGTAGGCTAAAGCCTACTTAGAAAATAATAGCAAGGGACACCTGGGTGGCTCAGTCTGTTAAGGGTTTGACTTTGGCTCAGGTCATGATCCTGTGGTTCGTGGGTTCAAGTCTTGTATCAGGCTCTGCTGACAGTTCAGAGCCTGGACCCTGCTTCAGATTGTGTGTCTCCCTTTTTCTCCGCCCCTCTTCAATTTGTTGAATGCTCTCATGAACACTTTCTCTCTGAAAAATAAATAAACATTAAAAATATTTTTAAGGGGCGCCTGGGTGGCTCAGTCGGTTGAGCGACCGACTTCAGCTCAGGTCACGATCTCGCGGTCCGTGAGTTCGAGCCCCACGTCAGGCTCTGGGCTGATGGCTCAGAGCCTGGAGCCTGCTTCCGATTCTGTGTCTCCCTCTCTCTTTGCCCCTCCCCCGTTCATGCTCTGTCTCTGTCTCAAAAATAAATAAATGTTAAAAAAAATTAAAAATATTAAAAAAAAAAGAAAACAATAGTGAGAACAGCAGAGAGAGAAACTGGGTGGGTGGACGGAGTGAAAAGAGAAAAAAAATCAGTCGAAAGCATTTACGTTTTGGTTCAAGAAATAACTGAGATGAATGCAGTTATAATTCAACTCACAAAATCAAAGAAAAGCACAAAACAAATTGTAGGGACCATAGGAAAATGAGTATAATGGAAATAAAGATAAGAAATGATAGAGACCCTGGGAATGTTATGCAATGCACCTTTAAGGGAACATCATGAGCCCTTTTCCTATTATTACGTTCTAAAAAACAAAATCACATATTAAAACATTGAGAATATTCTTGTTCCCAGGGTACCTCATTATTCTATTAGTAAAATGTCTCTATGATTAAGATTAATTGATGTTCTGCCAGTGTGTATGTACATGTGTATGTGTGTGCATTTCAAAATGTAGATTAACATAAAGAAAGAGTGCTTGTATTCTTAAAATGCATTATTCGGATAATCTGGACCACTAAGAACCATAATGCTTCAGTGTTTAATAGATGCTCAGGATCCATGCTGGGTTGAGAGGGGGATAAGTAATATTTCATTTAAAGTCAAAGTAAGGTTAGCAGGAAATAGTTAAGAAAATGATTGTGTTTCTAGTCATTATTTGTGTTATGAGAAGAATATGGGAAAGGTACTATAATCTACATAAAATCATTCTAATTCTTAGTGCCTGGAAGTACAATTCATTCCATAATTACTTACTCAGGAGCCACCATGTGCAAAGTACTAGGGAGGCAATGATGGACAAAAACTGATGCAGTTTCTCATCTCATGGAACTTACAGCCTAGAGGATAAAGAAAGAAGATATTAATGAAATATCACATAAAGATAAAAATATTATTTGAATTAAGTGTTATTTGAAGACATAAGATCATGTAAGAAGATTTGACATAGGCAAGTAAATCGGGGAAGTATTTCCTAAGCAAGCGACAATTTAGTGATGATTTCAGATCTAATATTGACTTCATCAAAGCAGGTAAAGAGCATTTCAGGCAGAGGGATAAGCATATTCATAGGTACTGTAGCAGAGGGACTAGATTCTTCAAGAACTAGAAAGGTGGTAAGTATAGCTAGTGTCCAGTGAGGGAGTTGGAGAGGAGCTCCTATGTAGTGAGAGAGGAGAGACCATACAAGGTCTGCCAGGAATTTAGATTTTTACAGAAGAGCCGTGGACATTCACTAAGGTATTATAAACAAAATGTGTGTGTGTGCGTGCATGCGTGCATGCCCACGTGCATGTAGTCATGGGTGATTTGATCGGATTTGTGCTTTGAAAATATTCTGGCTAGAGTAAGTGAATAAAGATTGACAGAGATTGCTGGGAAGCAACCATGGATCTAGGGAACCCGAGGGGAGGTTATGGTAAGCATCCTGGGTGGCAGCTGATGATGATATGAATTGAGCTCTGGCAGCAGACTCTGAGAAATGTCTATTAGCCTTGTCTAACCAATATTCTAATTTCATCTGGACCTGTTTATTCACGGTACTTAAAAAAAATGGGAATTAATCACTCTTAGCAATTAACAATAAAAACAAGTTTAAAAAGAAAGTCAACAAGAGTTGCCAAATTTGAATTCTAAGTGGCCATCTCCAGAGTTGCCTTTTAATAACGTTGTTTTAGGGCAAACTTGATGGTCGAATACATAGGACTCCTGGTGTTCTTTAAATCATACCATGAAACATTTCTGTGCTAAATTCTATTGTGCAAATTAATGAAGACAACTATATTTTTTATATATGCAGTCTTTCACATCTTGAAAATAACATTGTATAAATATTTAATAATGCTTCCAGCTTATTAAGTAATAATTATTGACTCATGTTTTAGTTTATTCATGCTGTGATAACACTTACTAATAGATAAGTGGAAATTGGAAAAGATTTATGACACATTTATAAAAAAAAAGTAAACAAAATTTTTTCCATTGATTTTTTTTCAAATGATCATACGAAAATGAACGATTTTGCAATCATATCATCAATACATTTAGTCTGCCCTTATAGACTTTTAGATTCTGTCAGATTATGGTTTGAGACCCACTGTTTTTAGGAAAATCACCAAAAAACATTGCATGGAAGTATAGTGTCCACAACAATTAAGTGGATTTAATCAGGAATCAATGATGAGTCATACTTTTCCTGCCTTCAAATGGGGTAGGTGCTGTTCTTATCACTGATTTCAAGATAATCATAAACAAGGTGTGTCGAGCCAATCTTTTTTCCGCAATGAAATATGAAAATTCTCCCTAACATATGTTGAATTTGAGGTTAACCTATTTGCAATATCTGCCATCTATGATTTGCTCTTGTCAGTTCTGCTGATGTGACTAGTGACATGTTTAATCAAAAAGATGAATTCTCTTGAACTGAGGAAAATCTTTTAAGGATAATGATTTAAAGGTACATCATCTATGAAGACTACCTCCCTTATATATGTACTTGCCTCAGCTACTTTTCAAAGCAAAGTTTTTCTTTATCACTTATAAATCACTTCAGTTATTGTATTATTCATGTTTGTAAAGTACAAATGCACTGATTTTAGCGAATCAAAACCCATCTGATTGTAGATACATTCAAAAGCATTTATGCTCATGTAGAGTTTGACCCAGGTTACAGATAACTGTAAATCAATTTCTAAATGGTGTCTAGTAAACCACGAAGGGCCAATATTCATAAAATAATGACCATTGCTCATTTTACTACCTCTTACCTTTTATTACTACTTATTACTTTTGTTAATTCTGTTTTTTAATTTACCTAATTCTTGTTTTAAATTTTTTAATGTTTATTCATTTATTTTGAGAGGGATAGAGGGAGAGAAGGAGAGAGGACTCAAATTGGGGAGGGGCAGCTACAGAAGGATAGAGAGAGTCCCAAGCAGGCTCCACACTCTCAGTGCAGAGTCTGACACAGGGCTTGATCTCACAAACTGTGAGATTATGACCTGAGCCAAAATCAAGAGTCAGACACTTAACCAACGGAATCACCCAGGCTCCCCGCCTAATTCTTTTAATATTATTTAGGCCTATGAAGTTACTATTATTTGCTCATTTTCTAAGAATCGTGTGGATAATTTTACTTAATGGCTTTTATGAAGCATCTTGAGGATTTGAAACAGAAAGTGTTGAGTAGTTTGAGAAACTTTGTTGCTCGTCCTCAAATTCTTCCTAACCAACTCTTTCACTGCTAAAGAGACCGTAGTAGATCTCAAGAGTGGGAGGAGGATATTGAGGGGTATAAGAGAAATCTCACAGGATGTCAAACCTGGCAAAAGTAAAAGCTAAAACAACAGTACTCTTAATTTATATACTAAAAAGGCTGCTATTCGTACTAAAGGTCATGTGACTATATTTCTAATTCTTTGAAAACTTTGGGATCTTCGAACCTGCAAATTTGAATATATTTAACTTTTCAAATGTTGACTAACTTCTACCAGCGACAGTTCAGTTTCTTTGCTTTACAGCCCACGTTAACAGTGTTTCAATTTATTGTTTCCCTTTAAGGTTGGCTTTACATATACACACGCATCCCCAAAATAAATATAAATAAATAAACAAGCAAACAAGTGTGAACGAATAAGTATTACCTTTTGTATTCTTTAGGAATTATATGTGACTAAAAAAGTAAGAGCTTAAAACAGTGGCTTATGTAAATTAGGTTTTTCATTTTCTTTTTTTTTTCTTTTTTTTTTCTCATGTGAGAAACAGCCCAAAGAGATCATCCAGGCAGGTTTAATTGGTCCGTCATTATTGCCCCAGAGCTTCTCTATTTTTTTTTTTTTTTTGCCTTGCCATATATAGAACTCAGTTCCCATTCTCAAGTTGACTTGTGAGTTATGAACTAGGTACAGCAGATCCAGCAATAATGTCTGCATCGGTGGCAGAAAGGAGGGGGAAGAGAAGCTGAAAGGGAGGCATTTTATAGGTACGCACTTTGCTGTTGCTAACAATAAATAGTGTTAAATAAAATTGGGGTAAGTGGATTTTTTGCAGGCAACTAGTGCCTGCCATGTCTTTCTTTTCTGTATCTCTTGATATATTTTGTATTTTTCAAATAGTTGTAGCCACAAAACTCTCTCATAGAACATTTATCATCACATAGAACCCAATGATGTATAATAGCCCAAAGTGGAGCTTCTCTGGTGGAAGCAAACTGAAGGATGTGAGTGCCTCCAGTTCTCCCTGCATGATCACATTCATGCCTCTACGGACCCTCTGAACAGACTGCAAACTACACATGGGATCTCCACGTCCTCTTGGGTATGCCGTGTTTTCTTATGTAACTGCCTAGGGAGACTTGGCCAATAGACAGTCCTGGAGGGAGATAGAGATTTGGTCAAGATGACCTTAGGATTTCTTTCGAACCTGAGTCATTGGATGGAGTCTGTAAAGCAACACACTCCAGTCCATGTGCTGAGTCAACTAGATGAAGTCGTGGCTGTGTACACAGTTTTTTAAATATTTTTTTTAACATTTATTTATTTTTGAGAGAGAGACAGAGCATGAACAGGGGAGGGGCAGAGAGAGGGGGAGACACAGAATCTGAAACAGGCTCCAGGCTCTGAGCTGTCAGCACAGAGCCCGACGCGGGGCTCGAACTCACGGACCATGAGATCATGACCTGAGCCGAAGTCGGACGCTTAACCGACCGAGCCACCCAGGCGCCCTTGTTATCTCCTTAATACTTCTGCATAATTTCAGTTGAAGATTCAAAACAGATGGGTAAAATAATACTCTGTGCAATTCTTACAGAAATGAGTAGTTGTAAAAAATAAATAAATTTCTAATAATCTTGGGAAATGCGGTATCTGGTTAGGGAGGGCCTGAAATAATGCTTACCCATTTATTTGGCCATTTATCATTTTCTAGGTATTAACTATATTATGTGCTTTTAACTACATTCCAAATAATTTCACAGCTATCCTAGGAAGTAAGCATCATTTGCTCTATTTTCCATCCAGAAATGTGAGTTGCAAATAAATTATTTGTCCAAATTCACATGGCTTATAAATTTTGAAGCTTGATTAAAAACTGTTTTCTTAACTACAAACAATATTTATATTTTTTTAAGTGATAGAAGCAAGGAAATACAAATCCAAACCATGATGAAATACCACCTCACACCAGCATGTTCGTCAGAATGGCTAACATTAACAACACAAGAAACAACAGGTGTTGGTGAGGATGTGGAGAAAGGGGAACCCTCTTGCACTGCTGGTGGGAATGCAAACTGGTGCAGCCACTCTGGAGAATAGTATGAAGGGTCTTCAAAAAGTTAAAAATAGAAGTACCCTATGATCTAGCAACTGCACTATTAGGTATTTACCCAAAAGATACAAAAATACAGATTCGAAGGGGTATATGCATTCCAATGTTCATAGCAGCATTATCAACAATAGCCAAACTGTGGGAAGAGCCCAAATGTCCATTGACTGATGAATGGATATAGAAGAAGTGGTATATATACAAGATGGAATATTACTCAGCCATCAGAAAGGATGAAATCTTGCCATTTGCAATGATGTGGATGGGGGTAGAGTGTATTATGCTAAATGAAATAAGTCAGCCAGAGAAAGCCAAAACCATATGATTTAACTCATATGGGAATTTAGGAAACAAAACAGATTAACATATGGTGGGGGGAGAGAGAGGGAAAGAAAACATAATAGACCTTTAACAATAGAGAACAAACTGAGGGCTGATGGAGGGAGATGAGTGGGGGATGGGCTAGATGGGTGATGGGCATTAAGGAGGGCACTTGCTGGAATGAGTACTGTGTGTTATATGGAAGTGATGAATCACTAAATTCTACTCCTGAAACCATTATAACAATATATGTTAACTAACTTGGATTTAAAAAAAAAAAACAGTAATGGATGCTCACCTGACTGAGCCACCCAGATGCCCCAGTAGACTCTTAATGATAGAGAACAAACTATGGGTTGACAGAGGGAGGTGGGTGAGAGATGGGTTAGATGGGTGATGGATACTAAGGAGGACACTTGTGATGAGCACTGGGTGTTGTATGTAAGTGATGAGTCACTGAATTCTACTCCTGAAACCAATGTTGCACTGTATATTAACTAACTAGACTTTAAACAAAAATTTGAAAAGAAAAAAAAATTGATGTAAGGAGAAATTGCAAGTAAGGGTGATAATAAAATAGGGGCACTGTTTTCTCATTCACAAAGGAGCAGATTAGATTACCATTTTATGAATATCCAGCCAACATTCTGCTTCCTCACAGCTTGGCTCTGCTTGGTGCTTGTAGAAATCTTCAAGTGAGCTTGATAATTCTACTAAACAATAAGAAAGGAAGATTGTTGCCACTTGAGTGGGCATGGACTCCTGAGAGAGTGAGAGAGAGAGAGAGAGTTCAATACTTTTAAATTCTGTCTTCACATTACACATCCATAATAAATTTCAGAAAGGTAGATAATCTTGCCTTTTTCTGCTCTTGAAATACCTTCTTTAAATCTGTTACTAATATTTATTGGTCCAGACAAAATGTCACTTTTCCTGAAATCTTTCCATGGAGGATTTCTAGATTTAGCAAATAAAGATAGAAAATCACCGGTTGAATTTGAATTTCAGATAAAGAACTAATTTTTATATAAATACGTCCCATTCAACATTACAAAACAATACTAAAAAGCAATTTATCGTTTACATGAAATTCATAACTAGTCATCCAGTATTTTATCTGGCGGCTCTTATGTAGGAGTAACATTTTGAAATGGAAACCACAAACAACGATACCCATAAAAATGAAAAGATAGCACTTTTGAATTCAAACAAATTAGAGTCCAAAGTTCGTGTTTACCACTTGAATAAGTGACAAGTCAGTGCCCCTTCAGTTGGTCTGTGCATGTAGAAAGGGTATAACACCTCTATTCACCCATGGGGAGAATTAGAAAGAATGATCTGAAGAAGGGGCTTATAAATTCTGGTGCCCATTGGGATACTCTGTGGGATAGGCAGACCCATATGGATATTCTAGAGCATGGAATTAAAAAATATATATTTTCACATTTTAGAAAAATAATTTGAAAACTTTTATTCAAGTGTATTTCCTATCTGAATTAATTCCTTTATATTGACTTACTCTACATATGGGTTAGCATTTTTGTGGGTGATTCTTATTTCCACGACTCAGTTCTAAACTCTGTACTGGCACGTGAGCTATTCTAGTGGAGCATGGAACATACCGAAAAGTACACTGTGTGTCAAATAGTTTTTACAGAGCAAACAAATTCAAATAAATCTTAAGATAGCTTTAAAACATAAGACAAAAAAAGTATATGTAGAGGAAGCGATTCCATATTTTTTACATTCCCTTGGTGATAATGAACCATAGAAAAGTTTCTGGGGTGCCTGGGGGGGCTCATTTGGGTGAATGGCAGACTCTTGATTTTGGCTTGGGTCATGATCCCAGGGTTGTGGATCAAGCCCCATGTTGGGCTCCACACTCAGTGTGAAGTGCTTGCCTACTGAAGATTCTCTCTCTCTCTCTCTCTCTCTCTCTCTCTCTCTGTCCCTATCCTCTGCCCTCTGCTTGTGTTCTCTCTCTCTCTCTCTCTCTCTCTCTCATTCACACACACACACACACACACAATAAATATAAATAAATAAATAAATATTCCTAAAAATACCAGCTTAGCTCTCCATACCTTCAGCTAGCATCACCTTAAATTCTCAAAAATTAAGTTCTGTGATCAATTGAATTGTTTTTATAATTAATAAGACTGTGTATGCATAGGCAATGTCTGACATGTTTCTGTTTCAGCTGATGTTCTAGAATGTAACAGAAGCTCAAGGTGATCAATCAATTTGATAGGATCATTTAAATTAATTTCACAGAAAGCTTGAAGCTTTTCTCACTCTCACCAAAGAGTTTAGGTTGAACAGGAATCAGGTGAGATTATTTAAATAATATCTCAGCAAAAATACCTTTGAATGTGGTTACATAATAACCCTAAAAATAAATTAAAGGCATAAGCACTAGTCATAATTCCTTCCTCTACTGGCACTGTGATAAGACAGGCAACCCAAACACATTTTCATAGGACAGTGAAATGAATTTGTCTTCAGTTTTAATTAAAACAGGGATATCAGCATGATGCTGACCATCATTAGTAGACAATAGTTTCAGCAGGAAAAAAAAAAATGGTATGACAGAGCATAAGCCTCTCTAGTAATCATTCATATAATTTGATTTGGAATAAATCACTTGGATATGAAAGCAAATGTCCAAGCAGGTCATAGAAGTCCCAATTCTACAAACCACCTTTCTTGGGCAATTTGAAAGAAAATGCATACTATCACAAGACACCTCAGTGAATCTTTAGTCTGTATTTTTCATCACTCAGCACTGGTGGAATTAGAGTTCATCAATATCCTCAGGCCTTTACATCTTGAAACATTTGTTGACCAATTAGTAGCAGTTAACAACACCAGTTAATATAGTGTGTGTTTTTAAAATACGGCGGGTAAGGTTGTAAGCACTTTACATATACTATTTCATTTAACACTCCAAATAACATTGTCAGGTAGGATATGCAAGATTTATGAAAAGTCTGAGATTTACCATACTCATAAGCTAACAAATTAGCTTACAACAGTTTCATGCATGTTAGCAGAAGACATGAGACTTCTTGTTTAGAAACAAAGAACAGTGTTATTACTCGTGGTGATAGTAATTGTCAAAGTATCTACATTTTCTTGGGTCAGTTATCCCATCCCTTTTCCCTACAGAGAAAAGTAAAAAGAGCCAGGTTATATCTGCCCATACAATGGATTGAATTATAGGACAGAAACTCTGAGTTTAGGGAACCCAAAACATTTATAATAGACAGTAAGCATTATTGTTTGGGAGGGAGACATTATCTCTCTTTTCTAAAGCTCTTATCTACACAAGCATCCTTAAACATATAATCCATAACAAAGATAGTCAGTGACTGCTCAAAATACAACCAGAAAAATGAGAGTTACTTGGCAATTGTCTCCCAACACGTAATAATATTATTTTCATTTTACATATGAGGACACTGAAGCACAGTAAAATCAAATAAGGTCATATAGCTAGTAATCAATGGAGTCAGGATTAGAATTGAAGTAGTTTGACTCTAAAACTCATGGTCTAAACAAAAAATATTTGATGAATTAGTTGTGAATGATTATATTTACTGAGAATTCAATAATCTTTGAGCAGTCCATTATTTTTCTACAAAATCTTTATAGAAGTTGAAGTTCAGTTAGTGTTACTGTTTGCTTAGATTTTTCAGTTACATCTAGGACACATTTATACTCATTTTAAAGATTAGGGTCCAGGAGAAGGATAAAAGAAAAAAATAATTACAGAGCAAATTACACTGTAATGTTAATTAAAGATGCCTACGGGCGCCTGGGTGGCGCAGTCGGTTAAGCGTCCGACTTCAGCCAGGTCACGATCTCGCAGTCCGGGAGTTCGAGCCCCGCATCGGGCTCTGGGCTGATGGCTCAGAGCCTGGAGCCTGTTTCCGATTCTGTGTCTCCCTCTCTCTCTGCCCCTCCCCCATTCATGCTCTGTCTCTGTCCCAAAAATAAATAAACGTTGGAAAAAAAAAAAAGATAAAGATGCCTATATCTATATCTGTCTATATTATCTATATCTATATCTATATCTATAAAGGCAAAATTTCAAGCAATCTTTGCATAACAAATGTCCTCTGTGTTCTCAAAATAAGTTGTCCATTGAGGAGGTAATGAGAATATCACCTAAACTATTTAGAAACTACAATCTCTTTGTGGCTATTTCCATTCCTTTATCATTTAATCAGCCTTCTCAAGTAAACTAGCATAAATAATAACAGCATAAATAATAACATAAAGCATGTTTAGGTTCACAAAGAACCATTTAGGAAATTAAAGTAAGAGTCTTGTGGACTCTTAAAGTCTTAGTTATATCGAAAATCTAGGTCTATTCAAAACCTAACACATTAAATCAATTATCTTCCATTGACCATCCTTTAGTGGTCTATTGCAAATGATTTTATAATTCTTAATAGTTTATAAGAAGTGTGGACTGAAAGGTCTGGATGAACTGTAATTTCAAAAGATGATAAGATGCATGCCATTCCTGACTTGCTATGATCTCTTTCTTACAAACTGATCGCGCTCTCCAGAATCAGCACTGTTGGGGGTGTTGGCAGGAATGACACACTTCTTATTCAGAGTAATAAATGCAGTTTTTAAAGATACCTAGCTCATCCTAGGATCAGAATTGACTTGCTCTATGGTTAAAAATATTAAGTTGTGTATGATGACAAAACACCTTTTAGTACCTCCACCTGTCGACCAATTTCAAAACCTTCCTTTGTTTTACACTGCAGAGTGGTTACAGGAATACACTTCATGCATTCTGTCATGCTCATGGTGGACATAGATATTTCATTGGTCACATAAACAGCTGAGGGATACCACCTTTTTATTCTCCAATTTGTGATTTACTTAGATTTCTGAGGCTAAAAGCTTATAGAAGAAAATCTTCTAAACTTAGTAAAGCAAACAAATAAATGGGGGAGGGGGGAAGAGTAACAGGCACAAACAGAGGTTATTTTCCTTAGTGGAATTCAGACATAATTGAGGCCAGAGGTACTGTGGAAAAGCCGAGATCATAGCATGGTACATGTTGAATAACATCTTTAATTAGCATGTTTTCTTCTCCAGAACCTCTGTTCTTTCACACAGTCACATATTACATCTTACCAGGTTCTGGACTGACAATTTTATTTTTAAGTGTTTATTTTCAGTGCCTGGGACTTTAAGCCTCCGTTGTCTTCCATGCTTCCCAGGAAGTTCTGGCCTTCCTGGGTGGTCCTGAAGACCAAATGAATTTGCGTTGGTTACAACCCCACACACCTGGCCTCTCCCTGGAACTGTGTAAGCCGCAGGGGTCTGAAGGCTGTGATAGCGTACATGGTGTAGGTGGACAGGTGTGTGTGCAGGGGAGGATAGAGGAGACAAGGAGAGGGAAGAGATAGACACCGTTCATGGCCAAGTAAACACAACAACATTGGCTGGCTAAAATTCCCATTGTCTTCATATTTTAGAAGATTTGGAACTTCTAAAAAATAATTCCCACTGAATTCTCACTTTCATGAAAAAATTAAACTGAAAGAGCGGGTGGACATTTTGTTAACAAGTTGGTTGTCATCATGAAGATTTCAAACTAAAAATTACTCTTTCAATTCCAAATCATCAATCAGAATTTCTCACCTTTTATCCTTAGAAGGAAGTAAATGTGTCATAGGCAGACAATT